GGCCTATACAATGACTTGCGGGGGCCAGCCGATGTACAAGTCAGTGTTTTTATCCTCCCAGACAAGTCTGGTACCAATTAACCGACCCCGGAGGGATGGAAGGCTTGGTTGGCCCGGGCGACTCACGACCCAGGATTTGATCCCCGGACCGCTCGCGTGGTGAAGCGTGCCACTTGCCACTACACCACTTCCGCCCTTAATTAATAGTACCTAATGCCTTCACGTCCGCGAACCGATGGGCAGAATGAAGTCAGTCATTCAGTATTCTCTTTTACGCGCACGATCGACTGATTACTTACTTACACAAACTTCCACTTAACCCATTCGCGACAATGTCAGCCACCGGTGGCTGACGCGAAGATGTCCACTTCGGACCATGTCAGCCACCGGTGGCTGACGGGCTTTAAATGGAATTTTTGAAAACAAAAGGAGGTCTTTGGGAGATTTTCTTTGCTGTGAAGAATCTTCATACCCTCATCTATCTAGGCCACCCCTGGGCAAAGGAAATCTCTATCCACTAGAATTTTATTGAAGAAAAAATAACCTGACTTAAAATTTCACCGAAAAAGTTGAAAATTTTTTTCCGCTGAAACTTTTCCCATGGGGGTTTTCGAGGGTCCTGATCTCAAATATGATATCCATTTTTGGCGCTGGCGCCAAATTGGCGCCATTTGGCGCCAGTTGGCGCCAAGGGTGTCTTCACCAAATTCGCTGTAAACTTGCGTATGGGGGTTATTTGAGGCCCTGATTACGAATATGACATTCGTTTTTGGCGCTGGCGCCAAATTGGCGCCATTTGGCGCCAGTTGGCGCCAAGGGTGTTTCACCAAATTCGCTGTAAACTTGCGTATGGGGGTATTTTGAGGCCCTGATTACGAATATGACATTCGTTTTTAGCGCTGGCGCCAAATTGGCGCCATTTGGCGCCAGTTGGCGCCAAGGGTGTATTCACCAAATTCGCTGTAAACTTGCGTATGGGGGTTATTTGAGGCCCTGATTACGAATATGACATTCGTTTTAATCGTTGGCGCTATTTAACACCTGTTTCCTGCTCGCCTGCACCTTCTCACTATTGGATCCAATCAGGACTAACAAGGGGGGTCGTTCAGGATGTGGAAAGCTTTTTCGAAACGGTTTTCTGTATGTTATGGGAGCTCATGCGTAGACTACGAAACCGAGGTCCATTTTCGCTGAGCAGCCCCGCGAAGGCCAAAAAAGGTGAGGAAATGGTCCAAGGTTCAATCCCTCATAATGACAAAATTTTTGCATTTAGGTTGGAGCTTCCCAATTTGCTCTAAAAACACCAGGAATAGATATAATGTTCATTATAAAGACCATCAGTAACTAGTGCTTTCAGATTTTCACCATAATGTGGCGGAAAAAAGTTGTTACGCCAGAGGGGCGCCAAATGGCGCCGTAGCGCAAATTGGCGTAGCAAGTGGCGTAAATTTCGGCAATCGGAAAAAATGAATGTCATATTCGTAATCAGGGTCTCAAACATCCCCTATATACAAGTTTACATCGAATTTGACGAAATTCAGTCAGGGCGCCATCTGGCGCCAAATGGCGCCAATTTGGCGCCAGCGCCAAAAACGAATCTCATATTCGTAATCAGGGTCTCAAATAACCCCTATATACAAGTTTACATCGAATTTGACGAAATTCAGTCAGGGCGCCATCTGGCGCCAAATGGCGCCAATTTGGCGCCAGCGCCAAAATGAATCTCATATTCGTAATCAGGGTCTCAAATAAACCCCTATATACAAGTTTACATCGAATTTGACGAAATTCAGTCAGGGCGCCATCTGGCGCCAAATGGCGCCAATTTGGCGCCAGCGCCAAAAATGAATCCCATAATCGTGATCAGGACCCTTGATAACCTCTATGGGAGAAGTTTCAGCGTGAACTACGGATGACATATAGAAAAAACTAAAAAAATACAAGATGGATTTCCCCTGGGACAATGTCAGCCACCGGTGGCTGACATTGCGCAATCGTCTCTGCCGGCGCTGGTCCGAACGGGCAGTCTTCGAAAATCCCGCCCGGTCGCGAGTGGGTTAACAAGTGTCTTTGAGCATGAAGTAAATGGTTCCATACAGAATACTACCTCTTTTGTCGATGGATTATCCGCTCAATTATTTCGGCTTCGTTGCTGTTAGAAAGCCTCGAATTTCGCACTGTCGACGACCTCGATCTTTCCATTTCCGCATCAGCTTGACCTAATTATCATGAGTATTAGCATTAGTAACGAGACATGAGAGTCAAAACTAGTTCTCCGCAGAAGTGTGGCTAAAGAGGCAACTTTATCCCAAGACTGAGCTCCGAAGACTGGTTGATGAATAGTGCCAAAGTTTTCAATACAGCCAAAATACTTGGCCTAAAATTGCTCAAAGAGATATATCACTCTTACCATAACACCCAGCTTTGCGTTAAAACGTCTAGCTCGTGCGCTATGGGGTTGCCCTATGGGCTATCAGACGGGAACAGTGACTGGAGCTATCATCAACTGCTCACGTACTCTTCGTACAGGTAAAAAGCGTTGGTAAAGCTGTTGTTGGACCACTTTCCAGCCGCAGTGCCCAAAAGGAGCACGCGCAAAACAACCTGGAATCGACATCATCCAAAATCGTAAAAAAAAGAGCGTTTTGTAGGCGAAACTTGCGACTGCCCACCAGCCAGGTACGCATGTTAAACCCCTCGGAAGGGCACTAATTAAGCATTGCACCACGGAAGGGTATAGCATGGTTCAGCAAATCATATCCCCAAAGCGCAATGTGAAAAATATCTCCCAAGCAATGGGTGACCCTCACACCTCAAGAGTCAGACGACTGCCTTCAGCCTCCGACTGTCTCCAAGCGTCGTCTGACGCTGAGGCAGTCGGAAGCTAAGGGAAGTCGTCTGACTTAAGAATTCATTACTGATGGCTGAAATACCACATCAAACATGGGCTACCGTATGGGCGGAGCATGCGCCAAGAGGCGTGTCTCTGCGAGCAATCTTTTTTAACCTCAGTCTTGCAACCTCTAATTCTTCAGTTACAATTTTTGAAGCAGAAATTTCTCCTTGGGCGACGCGACACATCACACCAGGATGAGACATCTGCAGCTCGGTCACCAGGCTCCCCCACTTTCTTCACGATTTGGGGCGCGGCCGCGGCGAGCGCGGACGAGTCGATAGTGCCCGCGAACTGTGGTGGTGATGCGTTTTCAAATTTACCCACACAGTTCGCGGGCACTATCGACTCGGCCGCGCTCGCCGCGGCCGCGCCCCAAATCGTGAAGAAAGTGGGGGAGCCGTCGACAAGGGAAGTACGAACTGGGCGTGGCTACCCGAGAAGGCGGAGCTTCCCACACAAAATGCTCTCAACTCTTTATTGTTTCTAATAGACATTTAAAATAAATTTATCATAATGTAGCCGAGCACTTGAAAATGTGTACCTGGATGGACTTTATTATTAGCAAATTGCACTTGATATTGGTGGACAACGTGAAACATTTACCGACCTAAACGTCGAAAGACACAAAACTATCAAAATATGAAAGCACCATAAGTGAACACTAAAATGCTCTTTCAAGTCGAACAATAATTGTGAAAATTTTCGACTGTGTCGAGCACGTGCGCGTGGACGCGAGCTCCTCACAACCAATCAATAAATGCTCGTCATGAGATGCAAAACAGCTTTGGGAACAAAAACAAGACGCCTACTTACGTCATTGGCACAGATTAGGAAAAAGAAACAATAAAAATCCAAATGCACCATATAAGGCATATCGTATATGTATATAATCACTGATAGTAAACTTATCATTGAGCAAACAATAAAATACATGGAATCGATTTCTTAGGCATATAGGTGACTTCATTACTACAGTCTACCGGCGATACCCATTTTGTGGATAAAACGCATAAGGCTGCGGATGAACGAATGGTCTCCAACGTTGTTGATGAATATTGAAGGCAGGATCTTGGAAGTACGGTCCGTGATGCTGCGACGATTGGCGAGAACGTGAAGGAGGAGGTGATGTCCGCAAGATGTTTCTCGCTAAAATATTGAACGTGGAGGAGGAGGTGATGTGCCAGATGTTACTCGCTAAAAGTATATAACCATTAAATACTAAAATCGAACATTGCAGTTTTCCTGATTTTCAGCTTTTGAATTCGAGCTCCAGCATGGGAAATTGTCCTTCTAGACCAATACCAAAGACCAATAGTTAAGGGTCTATTTCTTTGTTTGTTTGCCTTTCTGCTTGTCGTGAGCGTGTTCTTTTACTGCCAACGCCTGAAAAATAATAGGCGGGCCATAACCCAGACGTGGGAAAGTGATGGGCGTGGCCTACGCTAAAATTTTCGGGTTTTTGCATAATAGAACCTTGTGGCCATTTTCGAGGGTGCTAGGCATGTAAAGATGGGTATAGGTACGCGACAGCGAGCAAGCCTAGAACCAGTCAGCCACAGAATTCTTTGAAATCGCAACCTATCGATCAATATCGATTGCAAACATCATCTTCACCGTCAAATTGGTTTAGGATATTAAATCACGTGGCCGGATGAGCACAGCTACTGAAACTAATGGTGAGGTTCTATCAATGTAAACAATCATTTTTCGCAAATTTCGGTCAAAAAAGGCGAGGAGAGAGCCAAAAATATGAAATCAAGGTTATCCAAAAAACATGAAGCAAAAAAGGAAAAGAATGACAAAAGAACTCATCAAATAACTCACCGGACTAGGTGGAGCCTCGTAAATTGAGTCGTCACGGGATCCTTTTCGTGAATTCCTACGCTGTCGCGGGGTCTCAGACGGAGTAGCAGAGGACTGAAATACTCATATAATGTCAAAGGCTGCGGTTTAGCGAATTAGCCGATGTGTGGGAAACTTCGCTCACAGCCACGCCGATGTGAGGGAAGCTACGGGCACAATGCGTGAGAAAGAGATATTCACCTCACTAGCACGACGGGTTCTACTAGGCCTTGAACTTCGTCCCACATGCGTTCGAACGTAATCACCAGCATACGATGGTGCCGGTGGAGGTCCTGCTGAAACATTGTAACGTCTTTTATCGAGTTCTATGCGAATATAAATTTCTATGTAATATAGGAACATTGACTGACCACCCATAGCAAGATAGTTTGGAGGACCACCGGTGACTATGGATTGCGGTACTGGAGTAGGTATATGACGTGTGTTGGTAGACGCTGAAGAAAATATTGCACTTACTCAATTGAAATTATTGACGAAGTAGTAACTATTGAGTAAATTTATAAGAAAAAAGGTGCGTAGACGCGCATACGACGGCGTGTCGACCTGCTCGAATCAGTTCGACCGGGGAGAAGCCAAGTAGCAAGATAAAAAACGGTGAACAACAAATCGGGTAAACATCCAAAAAAGGTATGAACATAAGCGATCCTAACACGCTTGGAAGGACAATGTCGGTACCAGTTCGCGTTCCCCCCAGTAAGATCAAGTCTATGGATTTTTTCAACACGCACATTGTTAGGTGCATACCCTTGAGGTGGCTCGTCTGCCATCCACCCTTCCAGCCTTCAAGGAGTCAATGTCTGGCCATAAACTCCTGATTTTGCACGCCATCCGTTATCACTTAATAAAATCGCGCAAAAATGTACGTAGCCTCGTAGCCCTCACAGGTAATAGTTACAAAAGTAAAAAAAACGAACCCTTCGGGATGAACTGCACGAGCTGTCGTTGGGATGTAATATATGGAACTCTCGTCATCGAAATCACAACAGCACTCAGCACAACTCAGTGACGAACATGTCGGTAGATGAGTGGAGAATAAAAGGCAGAGGCTGAAAGCAGTGAGTGATTTATAAGAGAATCGCCAGAAATATTTGAAAATTGTGGTGAATTCATCATTTTTCGAAAAATGCAAATTTTTACAGACAAAGAGTACAGGAGAATTCGACTGAATATTTAAATAATGCATGAAATTTTCCTGAATAGACGAAAAGCCAGAAAATATATTCCGTTTCCCTAAAATATTCTCGTCGCTATTTTTGACGGCACACAGAAATTACCGAGTAAACTTTTCCAATTCTCAGAATTTAATGTACCATTTTAGCAGCTAGCTGCCTACTGCCTACGCTGTTATTCGGGAGGAAGCTGGAGTAAGGCCAAAATCCAGAAACGCTGCCAGGTCATGAAGCCAGCACGAGACAAGGAGCTGCTAACCGAGTTTTTAGTGGCGTCGTAAACGTTTTATGAACGACTGAATTTTGATGAAAATGTGTAGTTTGAATTATAGGATACTTAGGAGTCTAAACTGCCTGAACGGCTTTATCGCATCATAGTGGCAATCCTTTCCTTCACCACAGACTGACAAACGAAAAACTCACAAAAAAACATACTTGGCAGGAAGAAGAGGTAATGCAGAAGTGTGGCGATTGAGTTCACCAATAGTATCTTGAAAATATGATTGATAATCGGTGCATCGACGGCAAATAAAGGCAAATATGTGATGACTGGGACTAGGCAGGCGAACACCACCGGCAAGAATGTGGCCTGAAGGAGATGGGTTTCTATTATGAATTAAAGAAACTTCGAAATCAGGTCAACAAGGAATACTCGTAACTCTGGAAACGAGTACTGTATCCGAACTCCGGCCCTCATTTGCTGCTTTCCAGATACAGAATAACTGTAGCTGAATGCCATCACAACCACCGAAGTCAACATATTTGCTAAAAAATGATAAGATAAATGGCTCATAATCTGAGCACGTCAACCCCACACAATGTCAGCGTAGTGGACAGGTGGGGTCCAGCTATCACGCACTATACAAAGCAAGCGGCGCGAGCGGACGCGTGCGACAGTTTTTCAAGTATGTCAACTTTTCGGAACATATTCGTCAGAATTGTTTTCTTAGGAATTCACGTTTTTGACAAGAACTTGGTCCAGCAGTTTCAAAGTGGCTGTGACTACAGAATTCTGTTACATAGCAAACGCTCACATGAGCAGCCTAGGCAATGGACAGCAGGTGAAAGGGCGCTCATGTCCTTAGGGGGAGACATTCAAAACAGGGCATTCAAAAACCGCTGGTAGGTGACACTAGGACTAATTGGGAATAAACACCAGGGAGAACAATGGTTGCTCACATCCTCTCCCAGAATCCTTTCCCCTCCCTAAGGCTTAGTCCCGAGTTCTATGAGTGGCCCACTCACTTCAATGTCCCCCTAAAGACAGACATCGTTACGATCGCACGACCGACTATGAAAGCGTCCATATCTGTGGATGTTGCTCTGATCTGTTACCTTTAACTTCTAATTTTTTAAACAATTCGGAGTAAAATAAATGACACCAAATCTCACCAGATATAGCCATGGTAACCGTCAGCACATTCATCGGAACACCCCAATGCGTAGCATAACCGATGGTCTCCACGAACACTGGAATGTAAACCTTATTCAAATGAGACTTTGGAAGTATGTCCGAGGATATACGTATAGATAACTTCAAACTTCACTACAAAAGAATTCTGTCGGAAATGAAGGAATTATTCATTGCTCTACACTACTAAAAATCTTCGACTTCTATTCTTTTCACTTCTGCTATACTATTCGACTTAGTTAGTATGAGGAACAAAAGAGAAAAAGAGGAGAAGAAAAAAGGTTCGTGATAGGACACACTACGGAGATTCTTTCCGTGAAAGGAGAATAAGAAACTGAAGATAAAGATGGGACTGTATAAAATGAAGCAATGAATTCTGCTCACCTGCAACTGAAGTGAAGACAAGGACACAAGTGAGAGCTGGCTGGCCAAGAAGTATAATTGACAGCACAAAGAGACAAACGAGTGATATGCCGAAGACGAACAGACCAGATGAAAGCACCTAAATGTTGAGCTGGTTAGCATAAATACCTTGAAGGCCAAAAACACCAAAGCCTGAACAAGCTGCAAGTAGACTCAGCCACGATCGAGAATTCCTGGACAAA